AAAACAAACTGCAAACCCCTTGGAGCAATCCTTCACCATGTGCTCCTGTTTTCCAGTTTTGTAGAAAATCCCTGCTCGATATGATCCCTTGTGACTTTTGACACACTTGCCACAAGTACGGCCCTTCTGGCCCCCAGCTCTTGTATCAGCGGGCTTAGCCCATTTCACCGCCAGCTGCGACTGCACTGGTCTCTGGTCCCTCTCCTGGGACTCTCCTTCCTCCGTAGCATGTAATTCTAGCTCAATCTCCTTCCGCATGGCATTGGTCTAAAGCTCATCCAATGTCCGGTATGATTACTTTTCCACTACCTCTCATATATCCCTCCTCAGTATGCTTAGATATCGGCTCACACGTGCCTGCTCAGTAGACACATGCTCAGGGCAAAACAACGCCCTCTCATGGAACATCCTCGTGATCTCAGTCACAATTTTTGTCTTTTTCTTAAGAGACAGAAACTCCTCGGCTAACCATTCCCTCTCCACCGGGGGAACATACTTATCTCGGAATAGTTGTGTAAACCTCTCCCATGTCACTGCAACATGATCCGCAGGAGTAAAACTAGCAGTCACGAAATTCCACCAGTCCTTCGCTCCCAAGCGAAGTTGGTTCAGTGCAAACCGAACTCTCAGGTTCTCGGGGAATGAGCACGTGTAAAAACACCCCTCAATGTCGAAGATCCATCTCATAGCAGCAATCGGATCTTGTGTCCCATCAAAATCTGGTGGCTTCGTGTTGCTGAACTCCTGTAGCAACAACGAGTCACCTCCCTGTGGCCTAGCAGCGGTGATGGCTCCGGTGGTTGTAGCAACAGCAACCTCAATAACAGCAACATATCGCTCGTCGAATGTCTCAATCAGTATGGTCTTAATAGACCCAAACATCTTTGGTATCGCCTCCCGAATGGTTGGGGCCACCTCCTCTGCAATGATCCTGTGGATCTCCTCATCACTAGCCCCACTGCTTCCGGGGCTGTGGCGTGTACTCACCATAATGTCTCTGAAACACAACATGAAAGTCATCAGAGACTAGCTCAAGTATACTTACACCCTATTACCCATTCCTACATGCTCCTTAGCATCCTAAGGATTCTTAATTGGGTTGCATACAGATCCATTGCTTTCAGTAGTACGGGCCCAATACTACCTTCCACACCAACCTGTAGCCACCCCAAGTCCTCTTCCTAGGATCCCAATTCATAAGTACTCTATCTCTCACGAATATCAAACTACTCCCTCTCAGTAGACCCCTCATATGCTCATCTAGGTGTCCCTCCTAGATTATCCCTCGACTCAGAACTCTTTCTAAGGGATTCCTGCTAGATACTCCTACTTAGCACATACTCAAGGAAAATAATAGATAACATCGATCAATAACATCTCCTAGGCTAAGGCATCACAAATCAGGCAACTCTAGCCCTAAAATATGAAATACCTAGCCTATTCTCTAACATGAATCCCTAATATATCATGAATATCTCATAACACAATAAGTAAGGTTATTTTGGGAAATCATTGTTTGGGATCTGGCTGATTGTACACACTGCCCCAACTCGTTTTTCTCTTAAAACTCTTACTCGTTTTAGAAAAATCATTTCTTTTGATTTTATTTTTCAAAATCCTCAGTTTGAGTCCAAACATACCCAAGAGTACATCTGAATCCCTCAAACCAAGGCTCTGATACCAACTTGTAACACCATAAATTTTCAAACAAATTGTTTATTTTAAAAATCACATAATTCTCATAAACACAATCCCAAAACCCAAAGTGTCAAATGATCAAAAACATATATCCATAATTGTTTGCATAAAAATCCAGGATCCTCAAAAACATAACTTCATCCCGTGTGTACAATCAAGGCGGCGCCTTCCCGCAATCCTGAGAAGTACCTGAAACACATATCACGGAACACGATATACACAAATCTTAGTGAGTTCCCCAGAATACCAAACATATCTCATTAGCCTGTCATGGCGATATCTCAAATAAGACCCTTTGGTCAATGTTGCTCAGTGAACCCTTTGATCCTACAACTCGGATGGACCCTCCCGTCCTAACTCAGTAAAGCTCAGAATACATATCATAAATCACAAAGACATAATGTAGGACATCACAATACTCAATATAAACATACAAGACCCTCCAGTCACACAAAGTTACGACTCATGGTAAGTATAGTGAGAAGACTCACCTCGTAAGCAAGTAAATAAACCTCATACATGAATCACCGGTGTAGCCTCCGCCTAACACATATCATAATTATCTCTAATTAATGAATTACCCTCAAAGAAGCTAGGCTAAACCCACTACAAACTCATAGAAGGAAAAAAAAAGACCATTTTACGCTTCCATGGCCTCTATAGTTCATAATTTGACCAATCCCTAAAAGTCAACAAAAGTCAACTGTAGCGCGTACGCTGGGCGTACTACCTCGCCATTATTGCATCAGGGATACGCTGCACGTACTGGGATTACGCTTGGTATACGTCCCAGACTTACTTTTCCCACTCCCTTGGTCTTAATCCGTTAAGACCATAGCTATACTCTCAGATTTAGAGTACCTAAAGGCTCATGCTCCATTAAGTTCGTGACTGTAAGCCTTTGCATGGCTGAGCAAGTCCCATACACAAAAACTCTCACTCTTTACTCCAAAAAAAATGCTCATATCTCATGCATGGGGTGGTTTTAACCTCAAAGACCTCATTTTTATGAATCCTCTCCACTATAAACATTTGAAGGGACATATATTAGGCTATGGATGTAATAACTCATAAATCTTCAAGATTTGGGACCAAAACCCCTAAAATGGACCATAATATGCAAAATAAAAAAGGATGAGAAAGCTCTAAGCTTTATACCTTCAAATGATGCTCCGACCACAAAAAAACTCAAATCTAAAGCCTGGACTCCAACTCTATTATCTTCAATGTTCCTTCTTCACTCAAAGAATCCTTAGAAGCTCACAAATGGTCACTCAAGCTCAAGGGATGGAAATTAAGGTTTTGAGAGGGTTGAGGGTTGGAAATGGTGGCCAGAAATGAGGCCGTCAGGTTCCTTAAATAGGGACACTCCCCTCAATTAGGGTTTTCATTCTGAGCCTAGTACGCCCAGCGCACCCTCTGGTATGTCCAACGTACTAGGTCACCTCCACGTCCAAATCATGCTCATGAGTACGCTGAGCATACACACGTGTACGCCCCGCGTACTCAGCTACCACCTTTTCTCAAATAAAGGGCCAAACTTGACAACTACAATAAAATAAGGGTTAATGAGATGTACTTGCCTCAGGATGTTACAATTGGGCCATAGTTTGGGTTTGTTCTATTTTGGACTTGGGACTAGTATGTTAGGCTTCCTTGATTTAGGCCCATGATGGGTTTTGGGCCCAATTTGGAAGATTATGCCATAAATTGGGCTTTGGGTTGCCATTTAGGATTTGGGACTTTTGAGTAGTTGTGTTGGACCTTGGCTTTGGGCCAAGTTAGATAAAGGGTAAAATTGTCTTTTACCCTGGTTATGGGCTAAGTTGCTTAGATTCTTAGTTATGAGTCAAAATCCAACTATTAATTGGATATTATTTTGATGCTGATAGTGCGAGGATCTTTCAGACCAACAGATCAAGATTCATTTGCATGTTTCAGCATCTAGAGGTGAGTTTCCTTATTTGTGTTTAGCATGTCGAAGGCACTGGCTCATGATTTTTTATGTTAGGATGCTAGATATCTGATTGACTCTTGCATGTGTTATGTGCTTGTATGCTTACCGGGTAGGGCTCGATGACCATTCTGTATGATATTTATCTTTGTGATTATTGCATGTGTTATGTGTTTATATGCTATATGATTATATGTATACCTAGCATGGCCTGATGAATGACATATGTGTATACCGAGCGGGGCTTGATGCTTGGCGCAGCTCGATGTCGAGAAGGGCTCATTATGTGTTTATTATGTAATGTATGTGGTATTTTGGGGAACTCACTAAGCTTTGTGCTTACAGTTTTTAGTTTATGTTTCAGGTACTTCTAGTTCGAAGGGGAAGAGCCCGAGATGATTGCAGTACACACACCACCTTATTTCATATTTTATGATTACTCTAACGTTTCATGATGTATTTGTTACACTTTGTTCCACCATGGTTTTATTATGATGTTTTGGATAATAGTTTTATTGATTTAAAAACAAAAACTTTTGGTCTTAAATTTTGGGATGTTATAGGTCGGTATCAGAGCCTTGGTTTGAGGGATTAAGACATACTCTCGGGTGTGTCTGAACTCAAACTGAGGGCTTGGTAGAAATTTTCAAAAAGAAATGTTTTATAAAAAGGGTTTCTAATAAAAGAAAAAGGTGTGGTGCATGCAATTGACTGAGATCAAGTAAGTTTTCCCAAAATACCCATATATGTTTATGATATGTTTTAAGATATGAATTTGTGAATTGTATGCTAGTTAGGGCTACGGATCTGCTGAGGATTTGCATGACAGAAAGCTAGGAGAGATGCCTTTATATGCCTATTGTATGAGCTTGTAGACTTGCATGCTAGTACTGGTCAGTCAGTGATAGGATGACCTCATTAGGTTATGCTTGATTCTGATTACTCAATGCTCGAAAGTTGTTTGCTTTTTGCTTTTTAGAAGTTCTCATTAACTTCAGCTAACTAGTAAGTGAATATACTAAGTTACATATTACGAAAACTAAATAATTTTAGAAGGTTAGGTTTTAACTCTATTGCGCGACTCTTGCTTGAGTCCAACCATTGTAGTGTGAGACCTTTCATTCGAAGAATTATCTGGTGTCAGTGATATGAAATTATATTCGTGAGCTAGTTAGAGGGTTCAGGTAGGAGTTCCTTCTACAACTAATGGCAGAGAGTGGTGTGGTGATTGCCCTAGGAAAGCCTAAGAAGAGATTTAGTGTTGGGAGCCTTGTCATATGGAGGATTATTTGTATGGATAAAGAGTGACTTGGAGGATTCAAAGTGATCCTTGAGGAAAGTGTGATAGATGTGGAAGGTAGTATGGAAGTAGCGGATCCATACTCGAGTCAAGGAGAACTGCGATGAAACTTGGACGCTTGTAGGGTATGAGACTCCAATATATATATATATATATATATATATATATATATATATATATATATATATATATATCATTACTATATATAAAAGCCCTTTTTATGTGGTGCCATCTAGGAAACATTCATAGGGTTGCATTACCTCCACGTAAACTACTCTCGAAACGACATAACATACCAAAATGTTGCTTCAATCCCTTTAAAACGTCGATTTCATTTTCCTGGTCGTCGCATCCCCTTGAACGCCTTCCTTTTGCAGTTCACCGGTTCTTCTCCAACAAGCAGCCAATCGAAAAACCCTGATTATGCGACCAACAAAAAATTTGCCAAATTGTTTACTGTAAATGTTTTTGTTGTTGAATCAAAGAAGAACGATAATACCGTGATCGTCTTCCCACTGGTATGTTATCTACAAGAACCCTAATTTGATTTCAAGTTTTTTAACTTGTTAATCCAATCAACGGATTTTCTTGCCCCAATAAAATCTATTTGAAATTATCTTTTTTCTCCAATATTGCAAAGTCGATTTTATTTCAGAGGTTTCCATTCAGGATTAACGTTGTTGTTATGGTTTTTTCGACAATTTCTCAGTCGAATGAAAGAGAAAAGAGAAGGAAGTTATGGATTATAGAAGGAGACGACAACCTTTTCTTTCTTTTGAATTTTGATTTCGAATTGGAGATAGAATGAAGAGGTGAAACGAGAAAGAGAATAAGGGAAGCGATGGTGGAGAGCAATTCAAGATCTCCTATCCGTGTTGTTTCCCTAATGTTGTCTGTTCACACATTGGTACCCCATACCATTATCGCCTCACCCGTCACCAACCATCTCTTGATGTCGTGATTGGTAATTTTCTCTTCTCAGTATCCTTGATTGATTGCCCTCTCTACTTTTCATCTAAAATTAAATTCCCAATGTGATGTGAATTATAGGTTTTATGAAGTTTTAATTTAAGTTGATAAAGGTTTAATACAATTTTCCACATATATGTTTCCTTTCTTTTGCTACATGCATGCTAGGCACGATTGAGAGATATCTGAACTGGTTATTCATTAGAAGTAATTTTGAATGTTCATTTGGGATATCCTCTATCTTGATCTGTTTGTATGTGTAAGAAGTTTTCGCTAAAAATAATTGCTTGACAGCAGTACTTTGCATAATCTTGACTTATAAAACTGTCAATTATGCATATGGTAAACATCTAGATGCCATACCTAGACAAAATGGAATGACCATATGACAGTTGATTACATTTTGTTCATCTACGTTACTTAATAATTTCCCTAATTCTTGTAAACATTTAACTTTAGATCATAAACATGTTAGTGAGTCTGATTAGTGGATAAGGTTAAACCATAAGCATGTTATTATCAGTTTAAAAACAGTTAAAGGAACAAAGCAATTTATCTTGCTTTCTAATCCCCTCTTCTCTCTTTCTCTCTTCTTTCATCTCCCAGTGTCTTCCCTTCACATATTGATTTACGATTTCATGTTTAAAGTGAAACTGGCCCGCCCCTGAAAATTATTGGATTAATATTACATCAGTGCAAAATCAATGGGTTTTCGTTTTTAATTATAGGGATCCTAAAGATTTTTATTTTATGTATGTTTTAGTGGGTGTGTCTCTTCTTCTTCAGGTCATGGAAGGACTGCTATCTTGATGTACTTTGATGATTTTTTTCATTTTCTGTACAAGGTTTTTGGGCTTTGATCGTTTTCTCAAGTCTTTTCAATTTGAAATGATGATGTTCAACCTGGGTATGTTCTTAATCACATATAGAACGATTCCCACTTTGTGCCAAATCATTTAAAAAGACCTGCTTTACTTCTATGATGGTTGTACTCAGCCGATGATGTCAATTCACTGATGGGGTTGGTTGCAAGATCCGATTATTGATGAACAAATATAAGAGAATTTGTTCCACTTGCTAGATGAGGAAACATATAACAACCAAACCAGAATCAGATTTCCTTCAACAGTTTATCTGATGCTAAGGTTTGGTTTCTAATTTCTACATATAACCTTTTTTGCTCCATTAATTTGATTATTAACGGTTTTAGAACTCAATTTCTTGACTTATTATGTATATGGTTAGTAAATTTATTCCGGTGTCTACTTCTTGGTTTATTATTATTATTATTATTATTATTATTATTTTGGTTTTTATGAGCAATATGATACAATGATTGTTATAAGAACCTGACATTGATCTTTCATCATAAGAAGAAAAAATGGAAAGATGTTGGAATCTGCAAAAAAGAATTTCTAATGAGTTAAAAGGAATAGGATTTAAATTTAAAAGGAAGCGGAATTGAATTAAGTAACCATGGAAAGAAGAATCAGATAAATTGGTAAGATTTGGATTTTGGAAAATAATGTTCATGAAAAATAGTTTGAGAGGATTAAATACCAGAAATAGCTTTATTTATGCTTCTACTTTATGCAATTTATCTATGGCCTGTAGAATTAATATAATTTACGCTCGTTATTGCTGTAAAGTCGTTCCTGGAAGATGCAAGTGTTAAAAGGCCACTCTAATACACCACCAATACCAAGGGAGCACGTATCATTGAAACTAAATTGATTTTAAATGACAAGTATATCTTTCTAGAAAATTCCCTTTTCTTTTAATTAGTTTTGATGCATTGCTGGCAATATCTGTTGGGTTTTTTATTTCCTTCATTTGGTTAATTGGTGTTATGCCTCACATGCCACAGAGATGTATGCTTCATTTAAAACCCAAACATTCTTTTTTTTTTTTTTTTTTTTTTTTTCAATTTTTAAAGCTTTTAAATTTTTTCCCGAGTTGTTAAAGGAACTTATCAAGGCTCGAGCTCTCTGGTAAATTGGATAACACTTACACATATACTGTCATTAAGAAAAAAAACCTATATTTAATGTTTTTTTTTCAACATAGTAGAATTTAAACCATACAAATTAAATTATAACTTAATTTTGTTTTATATTTGTGATCTATCTCTACAGATTCTAGATAGTGGTCATTTTTAGGTATAGAAAGGACCGTCAAAGCTATGTTAATGCAGAAAATGCAATGTACTTTTAACTATTTGACTATTATAACATTGGACTTTCATTTTTGTAATTAAGGTGTAACGGATTGAAAGCTTATTGATTATAAAATTGTACTGCAACAATTTAGTGATGACACAAAACTTTTGCTCATTATTAAAACTTTAGCAAAGGAAATGTAAGTTTGGCTACTATTCTTTTCTGTTGGTTAAACTTGTGCTCCAAATAGTAGTATAATTTTCAATTTATGGAAAATGTATAGTATTTATAATAACAGGGAAATTTAGGCTAAAACCCTTTAACATTAATTTTGATAATATAAGCATTTTTTATTTAAGACATACTGCTAAAACCTTACTTAATAGCATTAGTATTTCAATCATGCAATCTCTTTTAGGAAGTACCAAAATTACCCTACATGGGCCGTGCTTAGAAGGCCTTAAATTTTTCTAGTATACACACACACACACACATATATATATATATAGTTATGTTATTTTATTTTTACTAACTATTGTATACCAGAATGCATAGGTCTGGACCACCGGATGAATAGAGTCAACAATCATGATCTGAGGATCTATGATACTACAATAGGGTAACATGTATCATATAATCACATAAATTTCAGTAAAAGGGTATTTTGGTCAATTAACCTATTTTAAAAAAAGAAATTTTTGGATTTTAAGGGATCATTAATTCCATATTTTTAAAAAATCTGAATTTTTTACGTTAATTCTAATTAAGTTTTAATATTACTTTTAATAATAACCGATTTTATTATGTCAGAATGACAAAAAGTCAACAATAAACTAGTAAATATATTTGCGGTTTTATTCTTGTAGAATATTGTTTTATTCAAGATACTTTTTATATTAAACATGCTTAAAGAATTATATAACATATTATCAAGAACAACATTTTCTAAAGAATACAAATTTTATTTTTTAAGAATCACTATTTACATTCACCAGTAAAGAAAAAGACTATAAACAATTATTACAATCATTCTAAAAAAATTATCACTAATAATGGTTTAATGATTACATTTATTCTTAAAGATTAAAACTAAAAATGTTTAAAAATGAAAAAAAATATCAAAATCTAATAAAAACAATACTCTATTCCGAAACAATATTATTGTTAAGAAACAATTTATAAATTTTGACAGAATACATTACGTTAGAATATAATATCGTTCTCCATGTTTTCTTCATTTTCCACATTAATGACAACCTCTTCAAAACCTAAATTCATAAGGAAAACATAATCAACTTTCAAATAAGTGCATTAAATTGAATAAAACAATAAGTTCTAATAGAATGTGATATACATCCAAATAGAATATAACTATCATTTCTACAAACCAACATCCCTAAAATTGTAATGTATATTATTCTGTAAAATGTAATGTTTTATTATTTAGGATGTCGTTCTATAAGAATCAAGACCAATACCAAGAATAGAAACCAATTTTATTCTGACAAAATTGATTACTATAATTCACTGCTTAAGGTGACAAGGTATTCAAGATTCTATTATGACAAAATTAGAATTCGATATTCCATTCTAGCAGAATCATCGACATTAAGATGCATTAAAAAAACCTAACAATCTAAATAGAAAAAAAACTATGAAATTGATATCGTAGGATACATAGAATGCATAAACATATATACTTATTTGTTGGTTAAAAAATTGATGATTGTGTTCCAAAATCAAAATCAAAAAGTAATTGGATTAATATTTCATAGATGAGGGTTCATTTTAATTAATAAAGTTTGCAAACTAAATGAGTTACACAGGAGGGTATACCTCCTGTGTTCGGTTTCCATACGATCGAAAAAAAAAGGATAAATGGTTATGTGGCTTCGGTTTTAATTGGCAATGGTAAAAAGATCATCAAAAAATGTTAAGGAGGTACTTACAACCGATGAAGGTGGTGGTTGGCGGTGGTGGCTGGCTGTTTGAAGCAGTGATAGTGGAGAAGACGAAGTGAAACCGTGAAGCCGATTTCTTCTTCTTTTGTAGGTGAAGAATACGTGAGATAAAAGTGAGAGATCAGGTCAAACCTAATTATTTTGTTTTCTTAATTAAAGGGATTTAATTAAATGATCCCATTAATTAAATGTTTCAAAAACCCAAAAATACCCTTATTCATTTAATAAATTATTTAATTATTTGCTAAATTGTGATTGGTACATTTAGGAACACAATATTTGCTAGAAACATTTGGACATATATATATATATATATATATATGTATATATATATATATATATATATATATATATATATACACACACACACACACACATACACACACACACACATACACACACACAAAAGCATGTTCATGCGAAAACATAAATATTTTACAAAAATACGAAAACAGATTTTATCATACAAACTTCAAACAAATGTACTTTAAAAATTAAATTTATTAGAAATAATGATAAAGATAATTTGTTTACATTGAAGGGTGTTATGATAATATAGATTTAAATGTAGTTTTAACAACTATTTTTTTTTTCCACGTTCTTAACCACTTTTAAATTCAAGTTTTCATAATAAAAATGCTAAAAAAATGCTTTGCTAATATTAAACTATTTCTGATGTACCATCGATTATCAACATGTAGTTCGAAGTATGGATGGATTCTTGTCCAAAGTATAAGGTTGAGGTAGCACAATGTCATATGTTTTTCTTATTTTCGTGTTTTCGTAAATTATTTGCATTTTCGCATGAGCCCTTCCCCTATATATATATATATATATATGTGTGTGTGTGTGTGTGTGTGTATGTGTGTGTATTGATGCATAT